GGCGGCGGCGGTGGGACCCGTGAACCTGCGGGAGCTGCTGCTGTCCGCCACGGCCGCCGCCGAGGGAAGCGGCGCGGCGACGGGTCCGGGAGCCGGCGATGAGGAGGTGTGCGTGGTGGGCATCTTCGGGAAGACGGCGTTGCAGCTGTGCTCCGAGAAGGCGGCCCTGGTGAGCACCGTCTGCGACCGGCAGGTCTTCCCCCTCTTCGAGCAGGAGGACCCCGAGCTGACGGACGGAGCTCCCGGGCAGGAGGGGGAGCCGGCGGCCAAGGACTACAACCAGCTGCAGGCCTACTACAGCCAGGAGAGCCGGGTGCTGTACCTGGTGCTCACCTCCATCTGCGACACGCCGCAGCTGCTGCGGGCCTGCGGGGATCTGGCGGCGGCCGAGAGCAGGGAAACCGGGCCCGGGCATCCCTCCGGCGGCCCGGCCCCGCTGCCTCACGCCGAGGCCCACGAGTTCTGGAAGCACCAGGAGAAGCTGCACTGCCTGAGCCTCCTCTACCTCTTCTCCGTCTGCCACATCCTGCTGCTGGTGCACCCCACCTGCTCCTTCGACATCACCTACGACCGCGTCTTCAGGGCGCTGGACGGGCTGCGGCAGAAGGTCCTGCCCTCCCTGAAGGCTGCTATCAAAGACTGCCCGGTCGGCAAGGAGTGGAAGCTCAACTGCAGGCCGTGCCCTCCGCGCCTCCTCTTCCTCTTCCAGCTCAACGGGGCCCTGAAGGTGGATCCCCCGCCAGGCAGGGGCCAGGACCCCTGCGGTCACCTGGAAAAGCCACCCCCCAAGAAGCACTCCCCCAAGAGGAGGTTGCAACATGCTCTGGAGGATCAGATCTACCGCATCTTCCGCAAGAGCAGGGTGTTAACCAACCAGAGCATCAACTGCCTGTTCACCGTGCCTGCCAACCAGGCTTTCGTGTACATTGTGGCTGGTGGGGCCCAGGACGGAGACGATCCCGTGGCCATGCTTCTTGACCAACTCAGGAACAACTGCACCATGAGAGAGACCGACTCGCTGCTGGCTCCCACCCTCTCGGGACCCAGGAGGTATCAGATGATGCGCCATGGCAGGCAGCAGCTGTCCTTCCACGCGGAGAGCAGCAGCAGCAGCTCCAGCTCCTCTGGACAGCTCGTGGACTGTACCCTCAAGGAGTTCTTGTGGCAGCACGTGGAGCTGGTGCTCAGCAAGAAGGGCTTCGATGACAGCGTGGGGAGGAACCCGCAGCCCTCTCACTTCGAGCTCCCGACCTACCAGAAGTGGGTTGCTGCGGCTTTAAAGCTGTACGAAGTGACCATTGAAGGCAAAGATGATGACCCGACCTCTCTCACCGGGGAGCTGAGCTCAAAAATCATGGGCAGCATCAAAGTCTTGGAAGGCTATTTAGATATAGACACCAAGTTCTCGGAAAACCGTTGCCAGAAAGCTCTCCCCATGGCCCACAGCGCCTATCAATCCAACCTGCCCCACAATTACACCATGACGGTCCATAAGAACCAACTGGCACAGGCCTTGCGTGTGTACAGTCAGCATGCCCGCGGCCCAGCCTTTCATAAGTATGCCATGCAACTGAACGAGGACTGTTACAAGTTCTGGAGCAACGGGCATCAGCTTTGCGAAGAGCGAAGTTTAACTGACCAGCACTGTGTGCATAAGTTTCATCTGCTCCCAAAAGCAGGTAAAGAAGCTCATTTGTAATTGGGTTTCATGGTTTAGTTTTTTTATCTGCTTTAAAAATGTCTTAGGCTGAAAACACTGACTTTTGCATGTTTATGGAAAATGAAAGCTTTGCAGCTTTAAAGCTTCATCTTTGTACAGTGGGATTAATCATAGCTGAGCTGTCGCACAGGTTCCTTTATGTTGAATAATGTTTAGGAGTGAGTCTGCTGTTAGTAGTAACTTTTATTTTAGTAGAAACTGATTCTGTCTTGTTAATTAGAAGCATTACACTGGAGTTCTTCTAACAATAGATGTGTAAGAGAACAAAAGTTCTCTAGGAAGCATAGATGCCCCCCCCCCCTTTTTTTTTTTTTTTAAATAGCTTGATTGATGTCAATCAAGGAATAGAAACTGTCTGATACACATTTATTGCAGGCATTTATGCCTTTTAGGAAGAGGTTGTAAAGCCAAAGAAGATTCAGTTTAGTGGTATAACCTGCACTGGAACTTTGTATTAAAAGTGGGAAAGGGAGGAGTTGCTTGACAAACCGGCATTGCTGGCAAATAATTTTGCATGTGTATATAGCGAGGAGGAAGCAGTGGATGAAGGGAGTTAAAGAATCTCTAGAAATGGTGAGCAATTTATCTAGGGTTTGACTGATTTTTGCTTTTAGGGGAAAAGCCAGAAGCGGACAGAAATCCTCCAGTTCTGTACCACAACAGCCGGGCTCGTTCTACTGGTGCCTGTAACTGTGGAAGGAAACAAGCTCCTCGGGATGACCCCTTTGATATCAAAGCAGCTAATTATGACTTCTACCAGGTAACTATTAGGTTTCTCTTTTTGCTTCAAGCATTGCTTTGCTTCATCAACAAAGTCTGTATCCTGAAGTGACTACAAGTTTCCTTTTAACCTTATCAACTTGTAACCATTGCTTGGGGAAGATATTTCTGGGAGCAGAAACTGTTTGCACGATGGGCTGACCAGAGTGGGCAGTTCTTCACCAGTGCATGCATGCAGGAGCATCTATTTACACTTCAGGTGTGTTGGTTCATGTGAATTTTAAATCCATCATGTCTGTGGGCTGTATTCCCATTGCTGCTTTGGTTCTCACGCAGCGCAGACCTCTTGAATCTTAACTGTTAGGACTCTGAACTCCCTCGTCTCAGAGGTGGAAGATGGAAAGTTAACCATGTTTCCTTTCTCATAGCTGCTGGAAGAAAAATGCTGTGGGAAACTGGAGCACATCAACTTTCCCGTATTTCAGCCAAGCACACCAGATCCGGCACCTGCTCGGGATGAGTCATCTCCTGCCCCTCCAGAAGGCGAGATTGAGAAACTTAAAGAAAAAGAACCTCAGACTCAGGGAGAAAGCACAGGCCTGAGCTTAGCCCTCAGCCTGGGTCAGTCGACAGGCAGCTTGGGCACTTACCCGCCTGATGCCCAGGGTGGAGGGGATAACGCAGAAAGTCATGGGCAGAGTGGGGACTCCAAAAGTGAGAAAAGGCCAAGCCTGGTAGATCGCCAGGCATCCACTGTCGAGTACCTCCCTGGGATGCTCCATTCTAACTGCCCCAAAGGCCTTTTGCCCAAATTCTCCAGTTGGTCACTGGTTAAGCTGGGGCCTGCTAAGGCTTATAACTTCCACACAGGCTTAGATCAACAAGGCTTTATCCCGGGAACCAACTATTTAATGCCTTGGGACATCGTCATCAGGACGAGAACTGAAGATGAAGGAGACTTAGATACCAATTCCTGGCCTGCACCTAACAAGGCTGTTCCTGGAAAAAGAAGTGCAGTTGTGATGGGAAGAGGAAGACGGAGAGATGACATAGCTCGAGCTTTTGTAGGATTTGAATATGAAGACGCACGTGGTAGGAGGTTCATGTGTTCAGGGCCTGATAAGGTCATGAAAGTGATGGGAGGGGGGCCAAAGGAATCCGCTATCAAAGCCCTCAATTCTGACATGCCGCTGTACATCCTGTCGTCGACTCAGGGACGAGGACTGAAGCCACATTACGCTCAGTTCATGAGACTCTTTGTGGTGGTTCCTGATGCTCCACTGCAGATCACGTTAACACCTCAGGTAAGAAATGGAAGAGGGAATCTGGTAACTGCAGAGACAGGGTTGGTTGTTGCATCGCTAATTGCAGGACCAGAAGGTACAAGGGTGATAGGCAAAGGGTGTCAGAGGGATGCTGCAAGAAACTCTTTCCAACTCAGACCAACTTCAGTCGAGTTCTCTAAGGCAGTAGTTGCCAAAAGTATCTGTTTTATAAACAGGTTCGGTTTTTTTAAACTTCAAGATTGGCTTATGCCAGCTTTATGCTTTGTATAAAGTAAGTTTTAAAAAATATTTTATCAAGGATTAATTAGTAGCATTCTATACTGTAATAATTGCTTCTTTTTAAAGATAACAAGCGAGTAATGACTGTGTAAGAATTAATTTATCATTTTAAATGTCATAGAGAAAAGCAGTGACTCATTTCTGAGATTAATTATTATTAGTTACCCTTTGAATTGAGGAGGTGAAAAGGTGGTGGTTTTTTTAATTGGAGACTTTTTTCCCATTTTCAAAAGCGTATTAAAAAAAAATGGAGAAAAAGCTCCATTTAGACTTTCTTGCTAATATTTTACTACCTTAAAAAGTAAGTGTATCTTCAATTACTGCTGTATGAAATACCGTGCGCACGTAAGTACTTATTATTTGTTAGTATATGGCAAGAAAATTGGTGTTTATTGAATAGTAGTGTCACTGAATTACAAGTCAGCACAAAAGGCATCTGTATGGCCAGGGAGGCAGATTTGGGACACTTTGTAACCCTTTGATCTGTTTGGGAAGTGCCACAAGATCCTTAATACTGAGTCACAATACAGTGGAGTTGGCTTCTTTTATGGGACACCTTCAATGACTCGGATATGAACCTGCTTTGGTTTAGAAGTTAAAGGGAGAATCCTGACTGAAACCTGACAGCAGCACCAAAATTTCAATGCAGTTTGCAATTTGTCACGTTACCGTTTGAAACTGAGGCAAGAATTGAAGGTGCAGTTTGCGCCAATCCTTCTTTTGCTCTTCATTCCCAGCTTACAGCTTTTGACTCCTAAGGGTGTGGGTTTTATTTGGAATATCTGTTATGCTATGTGTTGTGGGTTCCACGCATCAGTTCCTCATGTGAATAAGGCTTTCTGAGTCTTTTAATGCGAATTGTGCAAGAGCCCTATTAAACGTTGCTGAAATCCTTGAAAACTCAAGTTTGTTTAGAGTGAGGTAGCTGTGCTACAGTGTTGAAATCCGCTGTTACCGCAGCGTTTACTACTGCCCGAGAGGGGCATGGCTTGTATTTGTATTGTGGATCTCTTTGGTAGGACCTAATCTGCAGCCTTAAATTCGGCACCTTTGCTGCGATAAAATTGGAAATTTATGGATGTCTCACAATAATGGCACAGTGGTTTCCTGGAATGTGCTCAAGTGGATGAGAACCAGGTTGTAGGCAAGACTTAAGAGACTTTCTTGGATTCAGCTGGCTTTTAAGTTTTGGGTGTTGTTGTGGTTTGGTTTTGTTTTGTTTTTTTTATTCTAATGATGTTTGATCATGTACTCCTTTTGTTTTCAGGTTCAGCCAGGACCACCACCTTGTCCTGTATTTTACCCTGAGAAGCAGGAAATAACCCTTCCACCTGATGGACTGTGGGTGCTTAGATTTCCTTACGCATACGTGACAGAACGTGGACCCTGCTTTCCTCCCAAAGAAAGCCAACAATTAATGAGTTACAAAGTTCTCCGGGGAATACTGAAAGCGATTACACAATAAGAATTATTCTGGTAGATTGATTTTAGTTTAAAAGGCCTATCTTCAATCCAAATCATGGATTTTGATTCATGTCTGTTACCCAACAGCTATCACTGCGATCTAGTGAAGCCCACTGTATTTCACTGGAACGGAGTCAGATTGAAAATAAGGTCTCATATCAAAGTGGATAGGGAAAATTTACACGTCTCCTGGATTTCTTTTTGTTATGTTTTCATATGTAAGAAATAAAAGCTGGTTATTGCAATAGACTGAGCCTGTATTACTAGATCTTTTGATGATAGTGCTTTTCCCCATCATCTCTCTACATACATATTTAGGAATATTTAAAAATTAGCATTGCCTGGAATCAAGAGTTTCCTTTGTCATATTGAGGTAATGATGGGCAGAATATTTTCTCATTTTCTAAACAAGCTATTTGTATGCAAACAATAGATGCTTTTAATGTGGTGATGTGAGAAATGGTTTGTGTTTGATCTTGTCCTTCAGAGGGGGAAGGCATTGCTGTTCTGATTTGTATTGACACCATAGCCAGAAACTCTGCTTACCGACATCAAGTTGAAATGTTTTACTGTATTTGTACTCATAGATCAGATTTTGTTAAAAGGCTGGCTTAATTTTGTATTTTGGAATGGCAGCTCTCTCTGGAAACTAAACCTGCTGGTAAATGTGTGGAAAACAAGGCTGTATGAGCTTGTTCATTATAAGTAACTGCAGCTTAATTGGCAGTATAGCTTGACTTGTAGTGATTAAACAGACTTTTGGTTGCTAAAAGGACAGTTTTGGCCCAGTTTGAATCTCATTGAGGGAGTCTGGGTAACTATACTGTGCTTTCCAAAAGATGTGCTACATGATGCACTGAACGGCAGCTTAAATCCTGCGAGCTTTACCCCGGCTCTCGGTGCCAAAACATTACTCACAGTAAATCAACTTCTGACTTCTCGTCGAGGTAAGATGTATTGGCGATAGCGGCTGTACGCGGAGACCTGATTTCATTTCTAGAATATTTGTTTTTAATTAGCATGCATACAAAGTTTAATTTGCCCTTTTGTTACAATACAGTAATTACACCGCGTGACCGGAGCCGAGACCTGGTTTCTGTTTGGCGTAGGACCTCTCTGATCGGCTGGCTGTGGAGAACACCTCCCTCTCTGCGCGGACGGCGGCATCTCCCTCCGCACGCCTTAATGAATTTAGATTTACTAAGCACTTAGCGACTCCTGAGCGCAATCAATAAAATGAAAAGCACTACAGAGAGCAGTTGTCTCCGAGAGACGCGGCCGGGCTGCAGGCAGCGGGGAAAGCGAAATGGGAAATTAAAGCGTGTAACGGGGAATCGCTCGCAGCACTCGTGAGCCGCTTCACGAAAGAAGCGACGGCCGCCGGGCCGGCCGAGGCGTGAGGCCGCGCTCCGCCGGCCCCTCTGAGGGGAGCCCGCCTGACGGCCGAGCCCTTTGGCGGGAAGGGCGGGGGTCCCCCCGCGCCTGCGCAGTCTCGGGGGCGGAGGGGAGGCGGTGCGGCTGCGCGGCCGCAGCGGCTCCCGCAGCGTCGCCGCCTCCTCCTCGGTGGGAGCCGGCTTGCGGGCCGGGCCGGACCGGGTGAGGGGTGGGACGGGAACGGGCGAGGCCGGGCGGAGAGCGGGTTAAGCCGGCGAAAGGCGCAGGATGTCGGCGACGCTGTACCTGCTCTCCACGCTGGGCGGATACGTCCTCACCTCGGCGCTTCTCCTCAAGTGTCCGGGGCTTCTCCACCGGCCCAAGCGGCAGCGCTTCCGCTGCCGGCACATCTCCCACCGCGGCGGTGAGTGACGGGGGGGGGGGGGGGGGGGGTGCCCGGCCCGCCACCGCAGCCGCCCCGGAGGCGCCGCTTCCCGCCCTCCCCTGAGGCGGGCGAAGGCTGCGGCCGCCCGCCCGCCGCTCCTGAGGGCTGCAGCCCGCCCCGGCTCCCGGCTCTGAGGGGCTCCCGCCGCCTTCCCTCCACAGGGGCGATGCCGCCTTCCCGCTCCCTCGGGACGCTTCTCTCCCTGAGGCCGGGTTCGGGCGGGCGGTGCCGCAGCCCTGTCAGGAGGATCTTTGAGGGGCTGCTGCGCGGTGCCCCTCTCGGGCTCCCTTTAAATCTTCCTCCCGCAACCTAATTTTAGGTGCCACCTGCTGACCAGTGCTTGATTTCAAAGCTGAATTAATCTCCGAACTCGCAACGCGTCAGCCGAAATCGGCTCGTTTGACGTGGGTCGCGATGGTTTCCCTCTCGAACGTATATATGTTGTTTTCTTCCTAATGATTCTGGGTGAGGGTATTTCTCTTCCTCATGAGCTGGGCGGCTGGCTGTTGCTTAGGTCAGGTACAAAAGATCAATCTTCTTGCCTCTGCCTGTTTGCTTTGCTTGCTGGTTTCAGAAGAAATGCAGTTTGCTGTGACTCTCTTCTTGCTCCCCTTGCTGTTGGAGACGGTTAATGGTTCAGCGCCGTGGTAAAACCGATCCCATTTTGAGACTCTTGTCCTCTCCGTACACCTTGCGCCAAGGCCTTGTGGGTAGCTTCTGTCTAAAATAGCTAAAAGATGTTTTTAAAGTTTCTTCTACCTTTTCCAAAGCATTAGGAGGGAAAAAATACAGCAAACTGTATTTTCGTGTTCTTCGAAGATCAGTTCCGCGCTTTTCCTTGCTGCCTCGTTCAATTCGTGAACATACTCAGTTTTCTACTAAATATTTTTCCTGAAATTCTGTGGGAAACATGTCAGATGCTGAGTTCGAACAGTTTTCAATGTCATATCTAGTGCCAGTTTATGTAGTGTTTGATCACAGTTCTAGCCAATGGTCTTTAACTACCGCTACTGCCTTGAATTATTAAAATACAAAAGATAGAGCTGATCTATTACAGATTTTACTACTTGTATTTCTTTCATTTAGTTTACACAACAGATTAAGTTTCTTTATAGTCTTAAGTATAGCATAAAAGGCACCTTTTGGTTTGGAACACATATCTTAGCCGTTTCCTGGTAGGTATGTATTTTCATTCAACGAACAAAGGTTCTTAGTTTTGGTTGTTACCTGTTTGGTAATTTGCAAGCTATTAAAGACCTGTGTGGATGACTTTGTTGGAACTTGGTATGATCTCCTTAACCTTCTTTTGTTCTCTCTTCTTTGCAGTGATCTTATTTCAGATATACAGCCCTAAGCCTAGAATGCAAGTGTTCTGGCCAGTTGCACTAAGCACCATTAGAACAACAGGAAAGCCTTACTCAATGGGAGGAGTATTCATTAGGCATTCAGAGACAAAGTCCACAGTCTTTGAATTGTTCTGTGTCCACACGTGTGCTGTGAAATACACCTACGGTAGAAGTACAATGTTTGAACAACATCTCGGCACCTTTTTGCTCATCGGGTACTATGAGACTGAAGATCGTTTACTCTTTACTCTCTGTAATGTTTACCTTGTAACTTAAATTCCTGTGGGACTTACATTCTCGTCAGGCTTTAGTCATGCTGTAGCTTTAGACTCAGTGTCAGGTTTCCTATTGCATTACTCCTATTAACTTCAGAGATCAAGGTAACACTTAACTTGTTTGGCTTTTTCCTCTCTGAGATAAAGCTTTGTATGTGAAGTTTTTTTCAAGTCTGTGAGTTTTGATTTCAATTCTTTCTTCACGCAAGGATTTTCTTATCTCAGTTTATAGTTCATCAGTGGAAGCATCCCTGAATTATTTCTTCACTTCCGCATAATTTTAAAATTAGTCATTTCTGCGATCAATAATTTAACTCTTGATATTCTGTGTTAAGAGTCCCCTGTCAAAGCCAGCTGCATGGACTGGATTGCAGGGTCTTTGAGACAGGGTAGCATCATGATTTTTACAGAATCACGGAATAGTTGAGACTGGAAGGGACCTCTGGAGATCATCTTATCTGTCCAGAGTAGGGGCAACTAGAGCAGGTGGATCAGGACCTTGTCCAGTTAGGTTTTGAATACATCCAAGGATGGAGGCTCCACAACCTTTCCAGGCAGCCTGTTCCAGAGTTTGATCACTCTTACTATAAAAAAGGGGGGTTTCTTATGTTTATAAAGGGAATTTCCTGTATTTAATTTTTTTCCCAATGCCTCATCCTTTCCCTGGGCATCACTGAGAAGAGTTTGGCTCAGTCTTCTTTACTTCCTCCCATCCGGTATTAATACGTATTGGTAAGCCTCTCTTCTCCAGGCTAAACAATTCCAGCACCCTCAGCCTCTCATTGTGTGCAAGAATCTCTCATCCCTTAATTTTCACAGCCCCTCTCTGGACTTGTTCCGGTAGAGCCATGTCTGTCTTGTACTTTGGAGCCCAGAACTGGACACGGCACTCCAGGTACAGTTTCACCAGTGCTGAGGGGAACAATCGCCTGCCTTGACCTGCTGGCAGCATTCTTCCTAACAGGCTTCTCTGCCTACATTGAGGGGAAAATTCAAAACAACAGAAATTCTAAGGGTCATCTCCTTGAGCCAGTGCTTGACGTTGACTCCCTCTTGTCCCATGATGGTGCTTTCAAAGTCAGAGGATGCAATCGTAATGTTTGGATGTGGGCATTTTGGCTCACAAGATGCTAAAGTGTGCTGGGGAGGGCAATTTCTGCACAGGAAATGCAACAATGCAAATGGGCAATACGTGACTCTGGAGGTTCATTTAAGTAAATGTCAGAAGCCCTTCAGTCAGCCCAGCCTTTTCATTATTAAGGAGGGAAAATGATTTAGTACATCAGATCACTTGCTTATCGTAGTTCCCTTTTCTGAGTGTGGTTTGTGAAAGCCTTGTTGCTGATTTAGAATTCCTGTTTCAGCTGGTGTCTCAACTTTTTTTTTCCTCATTTCCCCAAAACACTACATACAAGTCAGGCATTTTCTTACCAACTGGTTTGACTTGCTGTACCTACCTCCCTAACATGTGACTTACTTAAAGCTTTAATATTGGAAATTTCTGCCTGGGAATGCTGGGAGACTGTTGTTTTGTTCACAAATTGAAGAGTGACTCAGGTTTTTTTCCCCCCTCTCTTACCGTTCAGGTTGTATGGGCTGTATTGTCACAGTTGATAAGTTATCTAAAACCTCATTTTTTATTGCAGTTAACTTATAACTAATCATGCAGGTCCTGTGCAGGTTTTTCCCATCTGTTAGGCAGTCATCAGAAGTATATGATGAGATTCTCATGCTCTCCTCTATCCCTTGGTGACTTTTGCCACTCAGCCTATTCCTATTCTGCAATCAAATTGGTGAATGTCTAATCACAGAAGCTGCTGTGGATTTACCGTACTGGTTTACATTAAACCATGCAGATTTTGTCATTATGATTCTAAGTCAGTTAAGTCTTTCATTTTGGAAATTTACCATCGCAAGCTAACCTGGTAACAATTTTAAATTGCTAGTTGCACATGCATAGAATTGCGTTGCCTTCATTAAGTAACTAAGTACAGATAAGTATGTATCGGTGAGGTCTTGTTAATAGGCAAGGCCTTAATTGGAGCTTTTATAATTGTTGTTTACAAAGTCTGTCATTCATCACTGTTGAAGTGGTTAAAATTTGCATAGATATCCTCATCAGTACATGTATCCTCCTGAAGCTGTTTTGCAGTATATAATATTGCCTGTTTTCTGAGGGAGGGAGACGGGGCACAACCTTTTCCAGTCCCTAAACTGACTGATTTTTCAAGGATTTTTATGTAGGGAATGATGGCCTAAGAGTTGCAGAGTTTACTCCTGCCTGAGAGAAAATTTAATTTGCTTGTCCTTTCATTTCTTAACTGGAGTTGATGTGTGTTTCATTCCTTGTGTATGAGACCTCCCTTAGCCAGCAGCATAAACCTTTATTGACAATTTGTGCTGTTTCAGGAAGTATCCTTGCACTGAAAAAAGAGCTTGTCATCTCTTTGAGCATCAACTGGGTTATGCGTTTAGGGAATACCAGCTTTAGAGAGTCTTGGGCACTTCTTTTCTTCGTTTTTTGGTGTGGTGGTTTTTTGTTGGTTTTTTTTTTTTTCTTCCCTTTAGTTACCTTTCCGCTTATTATTCCTCCCACTTAGCCTGAAACAGACTTTTTGTATATACTGTTCCTATGCCTGTGGAGCATGTTGTCATAGCCAAATACCATGCCTTTAAGGAAAAGCAGGGCACCCAACCTCTGGTAAAATAAACTCTTTGTTTTGTATATTCAAAGCGTCATACAGGTCCAAGATAACAGTCTTTCTCTTTTTCTTTTTTTTTTTTTATTGTTTTACCTTGGGAAAGGCCTGTCTCTTGGGTCTCCCCAGTAGGTTAGTGGCAACAGGGATTTCTGACTCTAGCTTCATAGTCATTCCTCCAAATATGTAAAATTTTAATCCATTTTTAAAATTTATTTATTTCCACTGGGATTGAGGGGAGGAACAGGATTTTGTACATGTTTTAGTTTTTGTTATTTTTGTAGGTGCTGGAGAGAACCTGGAAAACACGATGGCAGCCTTTCACCAGTGAGTACAAATGGAACCAATAATGCCTAAATTAGCTGTGTTCTCATTGTCTTTAGTGAGTGAAGGAATCAAGAAAGATAGGGCTTCCATCAGTTGTTTGGGGTACGGTGTCCTATTTCTGAAAGTCATCTCTCCTTTGGATGACTTCTGTGGATTGCTAAACATCACTCCAATTTAAACAAGAAGGAGTTGGTATACCACAAACCATGATTTGTACACAATAATGTGGCAGACTGGCAATTGGAAATAAAACTCCTGAGGCGTGATTCCTCCTGTGCTAGCTAATAAAACACAAAACAATACTGCTTCCATTACTTCTGTTAATTTATTTATTGGTATAAAACTATTTTTTGTAACTAATCTCACACACTGTTTTTTCTAGATACATTGATGTTTCTCAAAAGGTATTTCAGATCATAGCCTATAACAATATGCTAATTAGCATACAAGGCTGGATTTCAGGAAGGCTGAATCTGTTGACTGCTGTTAGGCTGTAAGCAATTCTCTTAGGTATTCTACAGTTTCGTGGTATTCAGTTCCCTCCTCTATACAGAAGGTTAATAATTTTTTCTCCAAGAATTATTGTGACTGAAATTGTAATGTTAACTGACTTTTAATACACCATCTGTAAAGCTATTAAAAATGTTTGTGTTACGTTTTTTCCCTTCATACACATACTTCATTGGCACAATGTGTGAAAGCCTGTTATCTAGGGCTTGAAAATGGAGTTGGTACTGGAAAGCCTTTTAAGCCTTCAGCATTTAAGTAGTGAATTCTAACAAGGTTCTCAAAGGCATTTGAAGAAGCAGCATATCGAAAACTCCAGCTGCCAATGAGAAGTGACCAAATTATGTAGGCTTCTCTTTGTTTTGTTTGGGGTTTTTTAATTTGCTTTGTGCTAAGTAGCCTCATCAGTTTGCACATTTCCTTGCAGACTGAGGAGTGCCAGCTTCCCCAACCAAACAGTGCTATTGAAAGTACTGCAGTATTTTCTATCTCCATGGAAGCTTAGCATAGTTTTGTGGTTTTTCTCCTGCTGGCCTGCCTTTTTTCAAGTCTGCTACGACACTTTCTGGGAAGTGCTTCTTTTTTTAACCATTTCTTAATTTTCATTTAGTACCATACTGGTTTTATATGTATAGGGCTCTTGCAAAGCAAGTTACACCATAACCTATTTTTATTTAATTCCCAGAAGTAAGCTGTAGTGCTTAGAGTAAGGATTGTGCTAGGAGTCAAATAATGTTTTGTTATAATACAGACATTTGACTGACTCTCTTCTGACCATTTTAATTATTTTATAACTATAGTATAACAAATGCGGTTGAGGTCTACTTTTTGAACTCCTCACAAGTGTCAATAGCAAAGTTCAGTTACTTGGTTTGAGATTGTCTTGGTTGAATAATAAAGGCACATTAATTCTGCAGAAAGCAGAGTCAGAGTGATATTACCTTGCATTAGGCAGTAGAAAGCCTTCTGGCTTCCTCTGTGAAGGGGTAAAGGTGTCCTTCCCAACTCCACTGCTAAGCTAGCAAAAGGAATTGGGTAGAAAATTGGTATCTGCGTGGTGAAAAGTTATCTGGATTGGCTTAGACGGCTCGTATGCACTAATCAATTTCTAATCCATCAGATTTTGCATGAAGCAAAATAGGGCATGCCTGCAAGAGCTGTTTCTTCAGGTTTGGACAAGCAGGCATATTTGACCATTGATGTGTCAAATCCAGAAGAGAATGCTTGTCTGCAGCGTAAGACCTAGCCCCTTGTTTTTGTCTCATTGACAGTAACCTAAGTATTGACAAGCAAATAGTTTTAGTTATACTATTTACACTTTAACAGCGATTGGAGAATATTTAATACTGTTGCACGATAATGAAGAAATTATTACAGTAATATATAAACAAAGTGTATGGGGGGGAGGAGGCCTTACTGGTAATTTCAAATTCTATACTAGCTTAATTTACAAATATTCTGGAAAGCAATTATAAGCTTTTTGTACCACAGACAGTATTGTTTTGGTTTTGCATGGTAAAATGGCTAATAGATTTTTGGGGGCCGTAATCATGTTATGCTGTCTTTAAATGCTTCTGTGGTGGTTTTAGATTTTAAAATAACTATTTTTAGGATAAGAGACACTTGTGGTGTCTTAAACTATTTGGGGATCTGGCATAAAAGATGTGGAAAGACTATAATTACCAGTTTAATTGTTCCTAATACAGCCATGTACTTTAGCATTGTCTTGACAGGAAGCTGCTAAGTAATCTCTCCAGGTATTTTCTCATTGTATTTCCTTTTCTTTTATGAACATACTTGGTCTAGAGAGAAAGCTTTAAACACTGTAGTTACAGCAATAAAAGTACGTGGTCAAGTTAGCATTTATAAACTCTATACATTGTGCTACATTAGGCCTTGCCTAATAGAATTTAGTTTCTAAAGGTAAGGCTTTTCTTAGATATTTCCTGGTATGTCCTTTTCCTTGAAAACAGTTGGAGTTAAACACAAGCAAAGAGCTCTACCGTCCTAATTTGCAAATGTGAGCCTGCTTTACAACTTGAGCAGTGGAGCAGTTGGATCTGAATCTGGAGAGCATCTGGAGTCTTCTCTGGAGCAACATAGATTTGATGTGTTATTACAGAGCTGCAGAACAAACTGATTTCCAGCTGAAAAAACTCAGCACTTTAAGGAAGCTTATTTAGCAGCAAGCTGCTAGTAAGAGCCTGGCAAATTCTCAAATTTGTTAACAAGGGAAGTTGTTGTTCTTCTTCCACGCAGCATCAGTCCTGAATTTCTTAAGCGGTAATATTTCTGATAAATTTTGCTGGTTAAATGATAATACATGGTACTAGATGGGAACGTCTTCTACAAATTTGGCAAATCTCCTGCAGCATATTTGGAGGTGCTTTTCCTCAGGAGGAAAAATTACACAGAACAGGCTGTGTATCTTCCATGCGTAATAGGATTTCATTCCTCTCCTAATTCTTAATTAGTGGCACTGGAAAACAGTTAACAAATTGGTTTTAATTTGACAACTCTCTTCTTGATCATTATCCCAGCTGGACCAGAAATTGTGTTAAACACTTTCAGGAGTATGTTCTAATTTTTTGTTTTGTTTTGTTATTGCATTTGTGAACGTTCATGGCATGTCTGAACTTAAGCAGTCAGTAAAGCCCTTTTCTTAAGGAAAAGGCTGTTACTGAAGTCGCAGAGCTTTGGGTCCCATATAGACTGCACTCACAGATGTTACAGGTTTGTTCATAGGTGGAGAAAAAAGAACAGCCCAGTGTTTTGAAGGAATTGTTCAGAGTTCAGGCTGGGAATTTTAGCTGTCTGCTGGAATGATACCTTCTGAGTGTCTTTTCTAAGGAAATGAGCAATTCACTTCTCATTTGAGTAAAGCTTAGTTTTTCTGTTCTGGTGTGAGGTTTCTTGTACTTCTTTTTCACCAATATTGCTACTACTTTCTGCTTTCTTTACTCCTATAAGCTAAGCTACTATAGAGTGGATTTGGGATTGGATTAGAACTTTTCAAAGCAGTGAATTGAAACAGGAATAGCTATTTTTCTTTGAAAAATATGAATGGGTGGTTGTTGTTTTTTAATTTTAAATTAAAATTTTATCATTAAAATCATAATAATGTTTTAAAAATGTAGTTTTGCTAGCCAGAAAAAGCCAAAAGCCTGAAAGCCCCATTGCTATTTTCCTGATCCATCCATTCCTGATTAATTTCAGTAAAAAAAGGCTTTCACATCCCTGTCACTTGTTGTTTATGCTTACCACAAAATTGATTACTTTTTGAAAAGTAGTTGCTTCTTTCAGTGGTAAATGTCCTGATATTAATAAACATCACACACAAAATTCTGAAACAATACTTTAGAAGTAGGTTTCTTAATACTGAGGTGGTAGGCTACAATCGACAGGTCTGCTACTTGATTTCTATGGAAGACGGAGCCAAAACTCCTGAGTTCAAATCCCATCTCTGGTTCATGATATGTTGTTTATTCTTGCATCAGCTTTCCCACTGCAGCAGAGTTATTTGCTTCTTGCTTTGTAGCAAGATTGTGAGGGTTCATTGCATCATAAAGCATCTAAAGTACTTCCAGTGGGATTAGTTTAATTGAATAACATGTATGTTAGGTTTGGACCTGTACAAAATACATGTGTGGTTCAAGGCAGACTTCTTCGCTTCCAGTGCCGTTAATATAGGAACAGACATGTTGGAGCTAGATTGTCACCTGACGAAAGATGAGCAAGTGGTTGTGTCCCATGACGAGAACCTGAAGAGATCAACAGGAGTTGATGTCAACATATCTGACCTCAAATACTCTGTAAGTTGAGGAAAAAATGTTAGTGCTAGATGATGTTTAAAAATGCGTTTGTAGAGTGGCTGGGGTGGGCAGGAAGGTTGTGTGCGTGTGTGTGTGTGTCTGGTACCAAAATCTAAGGAGGGGATTCATCTTGTCTTACTAAAAAAAAAAAAAGCTAACTAGGCTCCCTGTGTAGTCAAGGGAGAAAAACTGGCAGGTTTCCAGAGGGTGATTAACTCCCTCCAGTAGTAGGTTTGGATGAATAGCTTCCTGGAGGTGGGCCTGTTTTTCCATACTGATGACAAAGGAAGCTTAGTCAACAAGCTCCTTCTCATATGACCAGCCTTTTAATGGGAAAACTGGTCGATGAATCCCACCTGCATTGACAGTTTTAAAAGCCTGTCTTACAGAACTGTCTTTCCATCTGATGTTTAAGTGGAATTCTCAGACAGGTGTCTGGAAACGTTTTGCCTTATTCAGCTGCAGGTATCACAAGTCTAAGAATGCCAAATAGTTGAAGTAAGAATGAATGCAGTGCTTCTGAATCACTTTGGGGGCAAGAAGATTTAAAAAAAAATACAGTTTTTGTCTTTAAAGGTAACTTACATGGCCTATGAATTATAATTTTTTGTCTCAAGAAAAGTCATTATCATATCCCTGCAGTTGAATTAGTGTTCTATTTCCCTTTATTTTTAAGGAACTTCCACCATATCTCTGCAAGTTGGATGTCACATTTCAGAAAGGTAGGGTTTTGTCTCTTGCTGTTTCAGTTTACAGTAACAGTAACTAATTTTCCATTATTGTACTGTGGCAGTTTCTTATTTTGGCAAAGGGAGTAGAAAAGTGGATTTACTTCTATCAGTATGTTGGTAAGAGAAGTTTTAAAAGGAAAATATAATCCTAGCTTTAGAAACCAAAATGTATTTTTTTCAAACCAGTTGGCAGTGACTAAGTTTAAGATGTAAGATATCTTTTTCCAAGTAAACATTTCAATTGTTTGTTTGTCTACTTCTTGCAACTACTTTCCAGTTCCATTGTGAGCTCTTCAGAAGGTGCTGATTGAAAATTTGTTGTTCGAAAAAACAGAGAGAAGGCAGAAGAGAGTTTCTTTACAGCTCAGATGCCATTGTGCTGGTGCACTCTGGGCTTGAAGTACTACGAGAGGTCAGACAATATAGGCATTTTCAGAAGGGTGAATGAAGAGTGGTAGTTACTGTATGTATGACTTGAAGTTCAGTACCAATATTGCTGCAAGAGAGGAAAACCTAGAAAAAGACTAACCTGTTTCCTTGTGAAAACTGTGGTTCATGGGACTGTAATTTGAATTAAGCATCAGGCTAAAACTGAGAACACTTCCACCTAGAAAAGGCTACCAGAGATGGTATCAGACGTGTTTGTTTCAGGGGCTTTGTGACTATCTTCTGTAACCTTTCCATATTTCAGTTGCCCAGCAAGTAAATGTTGTGTTAAACTTTTCTGTTCAAAATTGCAAAATACTTAAAATGCACCAAGATGAGTTCTATGACATGTTATTTGCACACTTACAAATCTTTTGTGTATGTACAGTAATACAAAGAAACAGAGAGAACCTTCAGTTAATTCCTTAGAGCCACAAGCAGTTTCAGACAATAAAATTGGGGGGTTTGCCTTCTGTTCCCTTTACTCATTATGCTCCTCCAGTAAATTTTCCTAGAAGGAAAAGTTTTTCTCATTTGGTCTCATTTCATATTAATCTCATTCCATTTGGTACGTGGTAACTGAGCCCATGTTTGCTATTTCAGGATTTTAATGATGCCTGCACTCCTACTGTTGCTAAATAATGACTGAATTTCATGAAGTTAAAACCTAAATGTGCAATATGCTCAGGGCATTTTCATTACAGAAATGAGCTTGTCATAATTAGTTACAACTGAGTGAAGTAATTTTTTTAAAGTTTAAAAACGTGCTAATTCTAGGAACTATATACTTTTTAAAATTTTAAGATAACAAGTGCTCTGATACCTCAGCTTTTATCTATGGTGTATTAAAAATGGCCACAGCAGTGACAACCTTCTTGTTTCCTCAGAATGTCACTGTGAGGGAAAAGATAACCGTATTCCGCTCCTGAAAGAGGTGTTCGAGGCATTTCCACAAACTCCTGTCAACATTGACATCAAAGTGAACAACAATGTGTTGATCAAAAAGGTATGTGGAAATCTGTGCTGAACTGAGACTGAATGTCATGTCATGGTGTTGAAATTCCAAAAGAAAAGTTTCTTGGAGTTGATAGCAGTCTATGATACTAACATCTGTGTTCTTGGACTGCTTCATCTTTCACATGTTAGATCTTGCTCTGTGTATGAGGTAATACAGAAGACAGAGAAGTGATCTTGTGCAAGATATTTAGCAAACAGCTCTTTACTGACCCTTTATCTTGACATGAAACTGATGCTACGCTGCTAGAGACATGTTTGTTTTGTATTTCATATGAAGGGTCTTCTTATGGACTGTTGCCTACCAAAGCAACATAAAAACATGATGTCAGTGTAAAGATAAGTGTTCATCACAGAAAAGGAGATCTGCTTTCCATCAGATACTATTTTGCCATCTAGTTTTCTTAAGTTCTCTAAGTTTTTTTGGTAGGTATAATGGTCTTTCCTTTTATCTGTTGACCTGAACACCTGTTTCTTTCCAGTAAAAGCAGCACAATCATCTTCAGATGGGAGGGAGTATAGAAGAACTATCTCTTCTGTAATGACCTACGTAGTTGAAAAGTAGCGAATAGAGTTTCAGTTAAATAATGCTGGACATAATTTTCAAGGAATACATGTTAGGGTTCTGCTTTTTTATATTGCAGGTTTCAGAGCTGGTGAGTCAGTATAAGCGAGAGCATTTGACGGTATGGGGGAATGTCAATTATGAGGTTGTATCAAAGTGTCTTAAGGAGGTAAGAATGGGTCCAGCTAATCTTCGTTCTTCTTGCCTGCTTGTTACTGTGTGGTGACAAAATGTACAGTAGAGCACCCTGTAAATCAAGGTCTAGCTAGCTATGCCAGACTTCTAGATGCGATGAGAAATTTTGCACTTAGATTCTATTCTGCCTACTACACTGTTTCAATAAGTCAAGCACAGTTAACACCCATGTATTCTGCAATAAAACACTCAAGGAATTAATCTTAGTCGTGTTTTATTCTTGTTCTGTAAAATATAGGGTGTTATGATTTTATGCCAGGAACTCTTAGAGCCTGTTTTGCACATCATTCATCTGGTACAAAAGCAATTTTTCTAAGGATTGCTTATTGTGTGTTTCTTTTTATGAAAATGATGGATGTGGCCACTAGTTGACACATGGTTATATTGGTATAAAGCTGTTTTACAGCTATAGATGCTATTTCTTTTTGTGCTGAGGAATTGTACAGGTTAGAATTTAATTTAATTTGTGCTTAGTCTGAGGGAGTTATTTCACCTGAGTGAAATTGATCTAGTTGTGAGTACAGATATTGTTCCAATTTAGCTGTGCAGGACAACACACCATTTCCTACCTGAACAGCAGTTATATTTGTTCATTTTTGTAGCATCCGTGCCCAGATATTTTGGTTCATAAACGAGCATCTTTAAAAACGTGTTGTGAAGTGATGTCAAACTGTAAAGTGTCCTGTGCTAAAGGACAGCTTGTTCTTTGCGGTAATACTAGTCTAAGACAAAATGCTGCATAGTGTCATGCAGTCTAGAAAGACGATGAAGGCAGGTGACAAAAGCAGTACTGTAACCAGTGAAACTTTACCTTTTTCAGGTCCCAATGCCCCTTCAAACTGTGTAAAACATTTGCTTGGATTACAGGCTACCAGAAAGAGTAATTTAAATTCAGTGGCAGGCATATCGTAAACAGTTGGCAGCCTAATTGTTAGGTGCAAGTGCTAAACTTTAAACATGCATTGATGAGTAAATTTAATTGCAACAGATGCAACAATCTACCAAGATAAATTAGAATCTTTCTTTCCTGGTTCCTGCAGAATGCTGACATTCCCATCATCTTCTGTTTGCAACGTGTCCTCCTGCTTCTTGGCCTTTTCTACACTGGTCTGCTGCCATTCATTCCCTTCAAGGAAGAATTCTTGGAAATTCCCATGCCTTCAATCATTCTCAAGTGAGTTAGAGTCCATTGGTGGGTGCTGTACTGAAATGATAGTAAAGCAAGTGAATGATTATGCCAGCTTGAGCATTGGTTTACTCAGTATCCTCTGGCTGAGGGTACTGTTTTGTTAGTTCAGGCACTTTTGTATGTTCCTAAGAGAAAGCTATGCAAATCTGCTGCTGCTCTGTATTTAACCTGTCTCTAGCCAGCTCTGAGTTACTCAGTTGTTAGTGTGGAGTGCCTGTGTATATCAATTTTTCCTGTTTACAGCATCTCCTGTAAATACTGCCTTCATGCAGGTGCCTTTAAAATGCAGCCTGTGCTGATGCCATCTAGGTAGTGGTATGTAGCAGTGCTGTACAAATAACTAATTCTTGCACTTTTCTACCTCTTTCCTGAGAAAAAATTAGTCTGAATAAAGCGAAGAGGCAAGTTAGTAACAGGGTGGATATGAGATTTCACGTGCTCTTTATTTCTCATGCTTTACTCAAAATGCTGCTGAATACCCATCTCTGCTGCTTCTCTTAAATGTAGCACATTTCTCTGGTGTAACCCAATTCTATGTCACTGTCTTAGTGAAATTACTGCTCTAATTTGAGAAACTGCAAGATTAATTCTTCATGTTCCTTTTGCAGGAACATCTCAAATAATATTTTAATCTGTGCTCTGGTAATTTTTTGTTTTCTCTTCCTCAACAGGCTGAAAGAACCACAGAAGATGACAAGAAGCCAGAAATTTATTATCTGGCTAGCTGACACGTAAGATTTTCATCTAATTAAATTTTTATTTATCTTTTGCCTATATATTAACAGTTGGCTCAAGCAACTAAGACTAGCTATTGCTATAGCTACATGTTATGTTGTATTTTTTTCAGTTTCTTCTAGCTTTTTTGTCAGTGTAGCATAAATCATGTTCAAATCTTACGTAGGTGTTCCTGTACACTTTTGTTTCAGTATATGAAAATATACTGAGGTGCAGTAACAGTAGGCATTATTCCAATGTAATCCATTTAGTTTCTTTCATTAAATGTGTTCAGCTAATTAGCATGCAAGTAATTAGCAGAATGCAGCTTTCACATTTCATGGGATTGTGACTGTTTCATAATGTTGTCAGAGGAGATACTGTTTGGCTTACATGGAACGCTTTGCATTTTAAGAATATCTGTTCTTCAGAGGAAACTTAGTCATATGCTTTCAGAGGTTGAATGTGATTGCAGTATGTGTCTTCTGGCTCTTGCTTCTGTGTCTGACATCTCTTAGTTTGATTTCTTGAGCGGCCAGTAGAGTTTTCATGTCTTCTGGTGGGAAAGGATAAACTCTCTTCTGAAAGTGAAGGGATTGTGACTCATCGGACATGGTACAGGGTACCTGTACGATAAAGGAGGAGTGTGCTGGATTTGATCTTCGAAGAGTTGGTACAAATACCCATAGCTAATGCAAATTTCTGGGTATCTGTGTTAACCAGTCTTGAGTTGCTTGAGCTAAAAGTTTTCTATAATTAGGTTTCTAATCACTTTCTTGTGGAAAACATTGAATCTAAACGCTGTATGGAAATTTTATTACAGAACATCAACAGATGTTGAAAATTTCATATATACTTCAAGTTCTTAAATAATATCTTTCTCCTTTCCACAGATTGCTAATGCGGAAAGCACTTTTTGACCACCTCACTGCTCGGGGCATTCAGGTACAGTGTGGCAAAGTTAAAGGACATGTGCTTTTAACCTGAGAATTTGAACCAGCCAGATATGGCCTTGATGGGTTCATGTTCTCCCCAACATGTTCTGTTGTGTTGCTAGGATTATAAGTTGCTTTTTGGTTCCTGAGCAGTAGCTTATGCTGTTGTATTTGCAGATCTGTAGTTGCAAAGGAAGAATTGTATGCTTGGAAAAAGACTCTTTAATTTAAATCCCTTTAAGATTTTTTTTTTTTCTTCCCCCACTTCAAACTTAAGCCTACAAAATCTGCTGAACTGCTTACCTATTTTGGGCTTTTCACAAAATCATATTTAGACTTTTAGAAATATCTGAACTCTCAGGTAACAAAATAAAGTTGGAGTCACCACTAGAAGATGCCCCTTTTTGGAGGATGAGGGGGAAGAACTTGGATATGTTTGTGTACATGTCTTTGGCATCACAGCGTAATCATTTATCATTTTAAATATACGTAGCATCGTCTCTTTCACATGAAACAATTTAGGTCAGAAGTCACTTTTTTTTTTTAAATGTGAGTATTTTCTGTAATAATTTGTCTTTCTATCCCACCTTATAGGTGTATATTTGGGTACTGAATGAAGAACAAGAATACAAGAGGGCATTTGATCTGGGAGCAACTGGAGTGATGACAGACTATCCAACAAAACTTAAGGAGTTTTTACACAATTATCCAGCATAAAGGAAGAAAACCAAGGAAGTTCTTGCAGAACGGATTGTGAGCCAAGGATTTTCGTCATAAAAAAAATTGAGCAGCATACACAGATCATTTTGTTTGAAAGATGTAATTGGATGATCTATTACATTGTTGTCAAGTTGCTACCTAATGTAAAGGTTGTCTATTTATTTTAAAACTTTAATTACATAGTTTACATTTGTAAATAACTCATTTAGGAACAGCGCACTTCACAAGTAGTGATGACTAGGAAGAAAGATGCTGGATAGGATACCTGTAGATAATAAGCATTATTTTACCTGTCACAAGTGTTCCTAAGCAGATGTCAAGACACGTCAGTTATTCCAGTAATATTCTAGTGGGCAGAAACTAAAGAATTTCTGAAAGCGTACCCTGTGTATATGCGTTTCTTGTGTTGCTTTTAGTTTTCAGATAACTTATGGGGCAAAAAAGAAGAAAAATGCACAGGAGAAATAGAAAGCAGAATCTGTGGCTAGCCAGATAGTTTAGCCTGTGAAGTGTAGTCAGTAAAGGTGGTCAATTTTTTACCAAAATTAACTCCCTTGGTCAGTATACATTTACTCCATTATTCTTACTGATAAGAATGTTGAGCTTGAGTTGCAGCTGACCCCTTTCTGATGTGATGGTAATACTGTGACTTACTGGTCAAGGTCTAGATAGAGTATTTAAGCCAGGTTCTGGGTTTGACACTGAGTTCCGCTGCAGGGGTCTAGGTTTGCCTCTGGTTCTGACCTGCCTGTCAGGCTACCATGGCATGGCAGTAGCTAGCTTACCAGAAAGGAATATTGCACTTACAGGTTACACTTACTTTGAAATAGTCCTTTCACAAAGGAAGCCAATGTTTTAGAAGTCTTTTGCATGTTTATAGTTCTAACATCTGTTGGTGAATGGAAGTTGTTTTTAGGGTGAGGGACCAAAGAAGACGTAAGTTTGGTCAGGAGTTTCAGGAACAGATTAAAATGTTCCTATTAAGTGAATTCACCCAAAGCAGATTTATATGCATACTTAGAAAAGGAGCAAGTGTCAGTCTAGGACATGTAAATTTTAGTCTTTTCTCTCCACAAAAGTACATTCAATATTCATTAAGTTTATGTGTGTGGACATGGAAGTAACTTTACTGGCAAAAGCCAGGAAACCCCAAGTGTGATGGAATGGGCTTAGATAGGAAGGTATTTCTGGAAGCTTACATGCTGTTCTGTCATTGTGAACCGGTGTTACACGTGTCAAACAGATTTGAGCCCGCAATGCCTGCGTGTTTTGGTGTTGTCATGTTAGTGGTAGGGGTTTTCAGAAGGAATTTGATTACTGTAGCTTAATTATACACAATGACATGTATAAAGCTCAGTCATCTAATCATCAGATGCTGCTGGAACAAAACTATTGTTTAGCGATACTGTCTACTTCTTCAAGGAACTTCATGTGAAAATCATGGATCTTAATTATAACTATAGTAGCCAGATGCAAGAGTATATTTATTGCAAGGTATACTCACTGTTATAAAAAAATTTAAAGTAATTAATTTTCTTCCCCTTGCTAGCTCAGATTTGGAAGGGCTCTTGTGTCACTCTACTGGCTGCTGTGCCATACTTGTAATCATAGAGCATCTTTGCTATTCCATTATGTCTGTCAGTAGGTTGTCAGTGTTAGAATGTCAAGTCCATCTGGTTGGAGAATATTGGTTTGTGCATTATAATTCCTTTCTGAGGAATATTTCTACATGGATGAAGTGGAAGAAACTACTGCATTCACAATTCAAATGAACATGTGATGATTGTGGTAAATGAGTTAATGGTGTCCTTCTAAATATCTGCCTGGCTAAGATGGCTGTAGATTGAATTTCCTCTTAACTTACTCAGGCTTGTTGCACATTGAATGGAAGAGAGGAAAATGTAACTTCCTAACTGTTCAGAGGAAAAAGGATGAAATTATTTATTCTGTGCTAAGTTTCTTGTTTCCCTTCCAGACCAGTTATGTCTGGTCAGGTAACTGCTGATGATCTAGTCTAGTCATAGTTCTGCCTGCTTTCTTAGCAGTCACAGAATAGTTATAGAATAGGCTCCATATGCAGCTCAATAGGTAAATGAAAAACTTCCACCCTTTCTGTCTTATTTGATTTAGTAGCCAGTGTGTAGCTCCAGGTAGTTTTGGTGCAGTGTGGTTTTCTTCAACTTAATTGCTACCGAATTTCCAACAAGCACACCTTTACTAAGATGCAAATATAATTCTGGTTTTAGAGAATACTACCAAATAGCACTTATACATTAAGACTTTTTTTTTTTTTTTTAGATTAGGAAAAGCTAAGTTTTAAAATACCAGTCGTGATTTCTGGGCTTGATCTCTCAAGGGGTAGGTGATGACTTAGTTTCTCTCTCGAGTTTCCCTCATCACTGCATAAATAAACTATTTTGTTTTATTCTGTATTGAATGACAAAATACAGTTATTGAAATGGCAAACTTAATTTTTTAATTTCACTTTAATCTTTTTCCTCTTTCTCTCTAGCAGTGGTGTTGGAAACTTCTGCCTTCAAAGATGCTCAACACATCTCTCAACCACTAGTCTTCCTACATCTGATGTAGCTTTTGACTGTGCTGTTTATACATGACTCTCTTTGATAAGTCTGCTACTTACTATCTGAAATTTGAATGAGTCAATTTACATGATGGGAAGGAGTTCAGTGCTGGAAAAGCTGCTGAATTTATTCAGTCACCCATTTGGGCTTTAGTACAAGAGCTAAAGTTTGATCTCTTGAGACAGATAATGTTGCATGGATGAGGCCGTGAATCCGAGCACGAATGCACAGGGTTTAGGCCATGATAACTGTTTATAACAAAATAACATGGAATTGAGGTAACTGTAGAATGTTTGTTCTATCAAATCATTGTTTTGAATGTTCCAGAACTTGCTGTGTGATTTTTAAACCACTTGTCCAGAAAAGCGTTTGTTGAGAACTTGCACAGCTGTCCAGGAAGATGTTCAGTTAATCTCTCTCTCCAAGGAGAGATTCTTTTCAGGTACTTTTTGTTTAATATTTACTGTGTTCTCAACCCTATTGCAAAATACTTTATGTATGAAGGATGATGCATGTATTTCATGCACTTTTAATTTGCAGAATTCCGAATCTATGAAGTGATTTTTCTTTTCTTGTAAAGAAAGATTGATGCTCTTGAAAAGTGACACATTAAAACATCTTTGCTCATAAAAGATCTAAAACTAAATACTTTGTAATTGTGACTTCTTTGCCTAAAAGTATAATTTCTGAGATTATGATATTTATATTTATAGTGTAGTAAACATTGAGCTTTTGATGGTGGTCTTCCTATGTGGATAGGGTTGCTGAAAAGAGGGGGGTATCTTATGTACTCTGAACTTTCAAGAAATTTTTGGCAATGACATTGGTTTTCTCATATAGTAATCACAGTATCTGCAACTATGTGTGGCTAAATGAAGCCGGCAGTGGACTTAAGCCTGCCTTCTCCATGTACAAATGAACTTTTAAGTAAAACTTTCAAAGGCAATTCCAATTTGATTTTTCTATAATTTATTTTAAGACAGAAACAGTAGTAGATAAACTTGATCAGAAGGGGGTCTCCATATACGATGCTGGAAAACAGCATAGAGAATTCTGCTGGTTCAGCAGTGCAGTATGTGCTGTTGCTTCATTGCTTCCAAACAAAGGTCTGTCTGGAGAACAGGCATCGCATGCTTCAAAGCAAGCAGCCTGTCTGTCCATATGAAAATTCAAATAATCAAAATTTAAGATCAGAGTGGAAAAGTGTACAAATTAGATAATAAACTCCTGAAATTTTACTGTATGTTATTCTCGAGTAATAACGGTAGGGGGAGGAACAAGGATGAAGATCCCAAATGTCTTAACTGTAAGAGCATGCCAGGGGAGCTGATTCTGCTTTTTTTTTTTTTTTTTTGCCATCAGCATCTTTCACTGTAAAGAACTGGCAAATTGTACTTGTCTAGGATTGTAGCACTTTAAGTTAAAAAATGGAGTCTGTAGTTCCTTATGGATGAAAACAGCAAGGTGAAATGAGCGAAGAAATGCTTCTTATTTTAACATTTTGAGAAGTATTACATGTGCTAGTGTTTTGGGTAGCCGTGCTCAAAAGTAATTGTGTGAGAGCATTGGCTTTTGCTTTGCACTTCAGTGTAAAAAGGGCTGTCTGCATCAGAGCTGCTTTCTAATTATTTATTTTTAGAAGTCATGATCCTTAATTCCTAAGCACAGTAATGCATGCCTGAGTAAATATCAGCTTTTTTGGTTGGGGGACATATCATCTTTTTTTAAGTATACTGTTTTGTGTTTATCCGATTTTATGATTGATGACCTGATTCTGGCAGTGTTACAAGATTGTATGTGCACATTTATAATATTACAGGTCAGGTTTTGAAAGCAGTGACAAAATCATCTTATGTAGCCTGGTTCTAGACATCAGCTCTGACCTATAATCAGGCTCATTAGTTTAATTACAGAATGTAGCAGTTCACAGATGTGGAGGATATTGTGTCCTATCTATGTATGTAGATCATACCTGAATTGAATGGGGGGAACAAAAACACTCAGTTATCTCTACATGTAGTGGAGGAACTGGCCTGAGATTGAAATGAGAGCCTTCATTGTAAAAGGGCTTTATCTGCTTTTTTCACTTGGTTATTAATCATAATTTTATATTTTGTCTCTGTTGAAATGGTAAATAGCTGATAGTTTAGACTTAAATTTAAAAATTATTCTACTGCGGCCTTTAAATTATCCTGAAATACCTTTCTGTAGCATCCTGAGGACACTTGCTATAATTAACTATCTTCCCCATGCAGTGCGTCTTCTACCTGCTCACTTTCATAGGAGACTTACGCAAAAGATTGTGGATGATCAATGAAAGATCAATGGATTATGGAGTATATAAGCCTTTGACAGTTGACAGGTTTCTGCTTGTGAATTGGGGGCAGCAAACTAGCTATGTTTTGACTATGTTTGTATTAACAGGTATTCTACTTGTAGCAAGTTTCTGTAGAGTGTTGTGTTGTCCTGTGTTGGGTGATAGTTTGCTGTAAATACGGTGCTTTCTTTTTCTGATGATAAGCAGATTAACGTTTCCTCTAGTCCTAGGGGTAAATTTCCGGTTTTCCTACTGGATTTCCATTGAATTACATTAAATACTAGGTTTTAAGGTCAAGTGTAATTTTAAAGCCTTGAGGCTTCATATTAGGCAAGAGAGGTAAAGTGGGGTTTTTGTATGTAACAGTATTTAGCAACTTTTAGCGGATTTTGGCAGGCTGATGAGAGGATTCCCCAGATTGCTCTGGGCAGTATTTTCTTTACTGCACATTCTAAATGGTTGGTAAACCAGAATAGGGAATTGGGAAGCATTAATGAATGTTCATGTGTCTTTTAACAGGGAAAGTATTCGTCTATGATCACTTCAGGTTGTGTAA